CCTTAATCCTTTTCTCCCTGTTTCAGTGTTTAATTCACTATACATCAAGTGTGCTGAACAAAAGCAGGCAACAAGAAGTCACAGAGAAGAGGAGAAGACTTTATGGTATATTCTGCATGCTCCAGTTTTTCCAAACTTCAATTTTCCCAAGCAGTTGAAGAGATGCTCTACCATAATGAGTATCATGTGTTTGAAGCCACTGTAGAGGGCCATTGCAGTCATAAAACCAGCAGCTCTTTCACCAGTAGACTGGGACCTGTGAAACACATCACTGACTGAAGCTTATAAAACTTAAGGGTGAGTACAGTAAAGTACGGCGGTTATTTTGTCAACAGCTGTTAAAAACGTAATAATGTACTTTTAGGCTGCTTTGTTTGCGAAAGCTGAGGTAAAGACATCTGTTTCAGTGTAAACATGTTGTTCCGGATGCTCTTGCTAATGCACACATTTTTTGTATTTTGTGTCAGAGCTATTGCAGGGAATAAGACAGGCTATTCTTGCATTGTGCATTGATGGGAATGTGAGATACTAGCGAGCATAATGCTATTAGCAGCGGACAGGTAATTCTGTAAGTAGTGCAATGTATTACCACAAAGCAAATCTAATGAGGCAGCTATTGCCCATGTCACAGCATGAGTACAGTGTTATTAACTGTCCTCAATAAACTACCATTTTATGTATCTTTACTTTTAAGACTAAGGAATATGGAACTCGACACTCACTCACAAGTACATTATGTACTAATTCCAGACATCTCAGTCTATCTGTATGTGGCTCATATACTGTACCTCAAGAACCATTCATCTTATTGGCTTCACACTTGGCATGTATATTGTTGGAGCCCAAGGAAATGCAGTATTACATCTTGTGTGATTACGACATGAGGTACGTTCAATAATAACAAACTTTGAATAAACAGGTGACCACAACTCTGTAGCAGCTACAGTCGCAACTCATCAACATATGTGAAGTTGTTTATCACGACATCAGCGTGGCCACGACAACAGTTCAGTCATGGCAACAGCGTTCATGGCAATGGGAACGACAGCGGATTCTCCAATTTGGGGTTCTGAGTACTGAGTCGAGCACTGCTGATCTTTATACCAACAGGTGATTAGCTATTCATGCAGCAGCTTCAGGGGTCTGTGGACAGAGATCTGCAGCCAGTCTTGACCCACCTACCCATTCCAAACAGGCAGGTTTACAACAGGCACTGCACTAGTGAAGACAATACTGGGAGAAAACTGCATTCCCCTTTAATGCTCCTCACAGGTAGAACAAGCTTTGAGACTTAAATAGGACAAATGTTATCTCTGGAAAAGCCTAAGACTGTGTTAAGAGATGTTTTACATGATAACTGTTCCTGTTTTTCCTTATGTGTATTTCATTACGGTGTACTATGCTTATATTGTAAAAGATTGATATTTTCTCTTGAATTTCAGCATTGTTTTTGTTTGTTAGATGTTTTGCTTTTGTATTTCCAGGGCATCACTGTGCTCTCAATTCCTACATCCTATATATATATATATATATATATATATATTATTTTATTAATGGCATGCATGATTCTGTATGCTCCTTTTTCATTATAGGCTGGACCCAGTGTCTCAGCACACTTTCAAGCAATACCAAACTAAAAATCCAGCTGCTCTGTCATATCTCTGGCTCCATATGCATCCTGTTCAATCCATATGTAACTAAGGATATGACTGTATCTCTTTGTTCTTTTGCCATTCAAAAAACAGTAATATTTCTAATAACATCTGTTAGATAGTTTATTTTATCTTTTTTGATGAAACAACTTGTGCTGATATGGTTTGACTTTGCTGAACATCAGCAGAATAGAAACTAAATCGAATCTATTTATTTGTGTATCAATAGAGCAGTATATACACAGTACATACATCAACATTATCTGTTTGTCATATGCACCATTATGTCATATGACAGAAAATGTTGTTTGTTTTCTCTCTATTTAAAGTGATCCAACTCCAAAAAAAATCCATTTATGTTTGAACATTTTGCAGCTGCTACTTCACTGGACATGTCATACTATCAGGGAATAAAAGGAGAGAAGACTCTGAAGAGTAAATATGAGAATTTTCCGTAAGGAGGAACAGTATGACTCTTAGTACAGAGGGAAGGACAACATCCCCTCTCGCCTTTCCAGCTGATGTGTGGGACGGGGGCCCCTTTGGTGAGTGTTGTTGTCAGCCGAGACAAACTGCAGCTCCTGGGAGTGCCCCAGATCTGACAGAAACCTCCCCCTCCATCAGTCACGTCATCTGAGTCAGTGAAGGAGTCTGCGCCCCGGCTCGCGGTCACACTAACCAGGAGACACAAGCTGTTCCTCTCCAGGTGCTCATTAATGCACTTGTCCTTGATACCTCCGCCATACAAAAACACAAAGACAAACACGTGCCTGCCGTGTTCTAATTACACTTGTGTGCACAGACTCACAGGGATGGGCATCGTGCGTTTCACTGAGAGACTTGTAAATGTCAAACAAAAGCCAGATGCCCCTTTGCTTCCCCCTATTGTTGCTGCTGTTGCTGTTTTTGTTTATATATTTATATATATATATTTTATGCACACTGTTAGGGAGATATGAAGTTCTGAATGTAGTGAAGATGGTTCAAGTCTTTGAGGTGGGGGACGTTGGAGACAGCTGATTGGAGAACCAGTCATGAAGTGGCGAGCCGGGCTGAAGGAATTCATCAGGCTTCCTTGGCAATTAGCATATGAGCCTAATTATCATATGAAACCAATCCTCCATTACCAGCCTCTGCCTCCAATATGGCTCCACATCCTTCTACATTATCGCCCATCCCACTGAAAAATGGTGAGCATCAATGACCCTGGTATTGTCTTATACCTCTCCTCTCCAAGGCCTGCTTGAATAACTACCATACCTCCAATGGTCTTTTTTTCCATTATGCAGTTAAGCCAGACAGTTAATTATCCAGGAGCAGGGAGGCCGGGTCTCTTTGCTGGCTGTGATAACGATATGCTTTGCTGGGCAGAGAATGAAGAGGGCCAGCCCACAGGGAGCCCTGCTGATGTCAGGCAATCTTTCAAAAAAGGGCCCAGGCAATTAGATGCACCAGCGCTACCAGGGATGACTAGTGTTATTGAGGATACTGGCTAGCTTCTCTAATGGGGGTATTTAGGGCAATTATGATAAAGATGTCAGGGCGACCTCCCTGCGACTTCTGCTTTTACAAGGGGTGCCTCTAAGTGCAAGATCACAGAGCAGAAATAAGGAGTGACTAAAGATGTGGCCGGTCCCGCGTGGAAGTCTCGCCACCAGCAGAACTGCACTTAAGACTTGTCTCATGTGGTAAATACTGTCTGGAGATGCTAAATGGGCTAATCTGCCTTCAGAGTTGGGTTTTTATGGGAATTTTGAAGTCTATTATGACATTCTCAAGAAAGTAAACACCCCAGTGCTCAATTAAAGAGTAAAGCCTGGCTGATTTGTTTCCATTTAGCATCTTAAGGCTTCGGCACATCTGGCCCGGGGAGAGATCGGAGCACTGTTGTTATTTAATGGACGAAGGAAGCTGACCATCTGTAAGGTAACGGGGGAACCACATGGGGGCTTTTGTGTGGCTACTGTTGTACACTGCATGCATCTCGAGTATGTCCATACACCATTTACCTCGGTCGTCACCTTTCCACTGGCATCCATCACCTCACATCAAAGTTTCAGATCGGGGATATAACAACAAGCTACTGGTCACCACACACACCTATAACAAGCTAGCCCAACTGCACTCTTAGCATATGCCATCCACATGGCTGGCATGACACTAAACACACACTGACTAATGTTTGAAGTTGGTTCAAAGAGGCAAAGGCAGAGGAAAAGTGCAATGTGGAGGCAGCATGTATCCTCTTTCCTCCTTTAAAACAGCCAAACAGCTGGTGATGTTCTAGCAAAGTGCTCAGTACATTTCCATCATTGTTTTTTGAGCATGTCTGTGGATAATGCACCATGATATTCCCCTCTTTGTAATAGCCTCTCTTGATAGGTATTGGAAAGTCAGGAAACAGCCATCCCACTATTCAGATGAAGAAAGGCTCTTCTTTGAAGCACATTCCAAAAGTAAGTGTTTCTTTCTGTTGTAGTTCATGGAGCACAGCCACACACTCAGGAGAGACCGAGGAGATTAGTTATGAAGTTTAATGCAATAAAAAAGAACAAACGCAAAGAACACTCAGCCTCTCATTATAATGCTGTTATGAATGAGTTCTCATACAGAAAATAAACATAAAATACAATTGAAAATCTTGGTTTGAGCCATGCTAAAACCTCTGTCGGCATGGTATTGTATATCTATCTGTGTCTATATGCTGGCTGGTCCACCATTAGTGAAATACACTGAAATATCTCAGTGAATAAGGTACACATTAAACATTTTGCAAATTGTGGATGTGCCCATGTTAGCATGCTAGCATTACCATTAATGGGTCTGACTACAGTCTCACAGGCCCCTAGCATGTTTCCATATGTGTGGATACAGTATTTTAAAATGGCTGCGACTTGTCCTTATATAGATGCTTTATATTATAGTTCTGTTGCGAGTGTATCATTCAGTTACCATATGTGAGTTACGTTAATGAAATCAACTCAAAGTAACAAAAAAATATTGAATTTACTCATGAAACATCTTTTCCTTATAATGAAAGACACTCACAATAAGGGAGCATTTAGGAGCTATACAGCAGCCATAATGTCTAAATAATATAAACACCATAATGATCTCCTTGTATGACCTCATTCTCTTTTTTTCCCTCATTCGCCCTCGGTAATCTCTCATCTTACATGAGCCTCTTTTTTGTTATGCTACCAAAGAATTACAGCATCATAATCAAATGGGCACGGGGGCCTCTCTGATATACTTGACAATCAATCAGGCCATGTTTGCCCTTCTGGAGCAACAAGCCACCATCCTGCCCAGCCATCAGTCATGTCCCACCTCTGGTTGTCCTCTTACCTATTTTCACACCATCTTTTTCACTCCGCTGCAAGCACGATGACTTATTATGTTTTCCAACTTGATTCCCCTTGATGTTTGCTCTCTAACTCTCTCGCTGCCAGCGAGTTGCGATCCTTTCTGCCTATTTTCCATCATGATAGCTGGAGAATCAGCTCCAAATGTTTGGCAGATCGTCAAAAGCAAGCAGGAGGGGGACCTGTGGAGAAAAGACAGCTTTGCATTTTTAGATTTTCCATTCACTTTTATCAATAATATGTACCATTAAAAAGAATATCTGCTTGGTTTGAATACTTGCAAAGAGGTTTGGGAAGATCTTGTACAGCCTCTAAATTATCTGAACTTGGCAAGTTAAAAGTTTCCGTGCACTCTTCTGCACAAGGTCAGTTGAAAGAGAGAGGATGTTTAAAAGCTTTCCATGATGAATTGCCACTTGAGCAAATAAAATTTATAATGTCAGGACTGTGTGGAGGTGTATTGTCTTCTTATGAGTACAGCTTCACCCGTGCATAATAACAAAGAAAAAATAGTTCCACAAGGTTGCAACATATGCCGGGACTGTATGGGTCACCTTTAAGGCTGCTGCGCTCCACTCCGCAGCTATAAGGTTCATTGAAAACATCAGCGACGCATCAACTCAGTGATTACACAATTGTTTGTGTGAGTTTACAAGAAGCTTCTCCTCTCTCTAAATTCATCACAGATGTAGAGAGATGAGTTTAGGGAATTCATTTTGCCATAATAAGCTGAAGTTCTGAGCAAGTCAGCCAGAAAATTTATGAAAAAGTTAATAAATCAAAACCTTCCAGACATTCATCCCATCCAGCAAAGCAGAGACTTACAAATTGCGGCCCTTTGAGTCAGTTACTTCCATTAGAAAGAGGTGTTTCTCTTAATGCAAATGGATAATCAGGAGCTCTACATCAGGTCTGGACTGCGGACCAGCGTGACCTGCTGCGTGTACACAAACCACAGCTGTAGTAATGGATGGCGGCCCTGACAGAGTGTTGCTTTGTGATGCAGAAAAAGAAAGATCCCACTGAGACTCCCATCCACCATCACGCAAACAAACCTCTCAAAACACCACATGTATCATTGTCTACAGATGCTGAAGTGAGCGTGTGTGACAAAAGGAATTGTTTGAGAGAGTGGGTGTAAGGTTAAGATGTGTGTGTGTGTGTGTGTGTGTGTGTGTGTGTGTGTGTGTGTGTGTGTGTGTGTGTGTGTGTGTGTGTGTGTGCAATTGCATAATCAGTAACACCGAACAGCTCACTTTTCTGATTACATCAGAGACCTATTTCGGCTCAACTCCTTTGTCGTTTTCTCCTCCATCTGTGGTCCATAGCAGGATAACAAAGAGAAAAGCAGAGAAAGAGAGTGAGAACAAGACCCGCCATACTTTCAGGAAGGACCCTGAAGGGTTTTGGGCCCTGAAAAATAAGGCTAATTTGAAGGTCATTTAAAGAGCGTGAGGCGCTGCAGCTCAGGAGGGGGGCCTCGGAACAAGTGCAGGGGGAGCGGCTTGGGTTGCACCGCTGTGAGGTAGGCGGCTCCGACGCTCTCCCTGGTGCTCTTCATCAATCTCTCACATCCACTGAGAGCCTCCTCTGACCCACATAGCAACCAGAGGGAGGGGGGGGGGGGTGCCTTTCTTCCATTATTGATACCACTGCATCACACAACCTGCACTCACCTGAACCAAGTCAGCAGAGGAACCACAAAGGTCAGAGAACCACAGGCAGACATTTAGCCTTTCATTCACATTCACAGCCAAAGGTAAGCAAACTCCTCTGACATCCCTACTGTATGATCCACTCGTTGTTTTATTCACAGGTGTTTTTCTTCTGTTTTTATTGTGCAGAATAACTATTCTTTCTTTATAAAAAAAGTTACCTTACGTTACCTTTGGAAGCATATTCTTGGCAATGGAGGTTAAAAGTGTGGTTTGGTCAAGTCTTAAGTACAAGCAGTCCATTTCAGCTTTAAGAAGAATCGATCAGTTTTCTCTTGCAGGCAGCAGCGTGCTGCTTTAAGTGCACTCACTCTACAAAAGAACCAAAGTTTTCTCATTATGACGATAGACAGAAATGATCTGAGACGTCACTGACTGACTCAAGCTAATTAAATATGCAACTAGACCATATGTTAGGTAATGTATGTATGTTTGGAAAGAGAAGTTCTTTGTTTCTGGTTTTATTTCTCCTGCACATTTAACACAAGAAACAAAACTTGAATTATGATCAGTAGAGTGTATATCTCCACCAAAGCCCAACATTCCCCTCAGAGATATCATTTCCCTGAATGAGCCTGATTTTTTCCATCAAGATCCATGAACTATTCTGGGAAAACAGTGAAAATGTTGAAAAATGCAAGATCTGCCCCCGATCCAGAATTGCACCAATATTTAATGGGTTCTCCCCCGACCCATAACACATCCTTCCAAGTTTCGTGGAAATCCATCCAATTGTTTTTTGCGTAATCTTGCTTACAAACAAACAAATTGATAAACAACCGAGATACAGGTGAACACATAACCTATAGGCAGAAGTAATACGTTCGTTTGACTGTGGACTGCCGCACTCTGACTTGCAGATTTCTCTCTGGTTGACACTAAGATGAGAGGGGTGCACAGCCTGACCCCAGAGAAGCAGGGAGGAGGAGCAACACCATCCTTCCATTAATGTGGAGACATGTCCGTGGTAGTGCTATCTTTGTGTGTGTGAGTGTTTGGATTAGGATGCAGACAAACCCTCTCTGTGTAATTTTGGAAATGTCTGGTGAACAGTTGCTGATCCGTGTTTTAGCAGCTAAAGCTTGATTGCGGAGCCATTGACGGAAAAGACGAAACTTCCCCCACATATCTCCCTCTCACAATGCCGCTAAAATGGCAGCAATGAAAGAATGCACATGCTGCCGACGCACATAACACATTTGTTGGTTTAGTGTACCATTGTGTAAACTGAGAAAAGGCAATATCACCTCCAAAGCTCCCGATAATCTTTTGATTTTGACATTGAATAAGAAGAAGAGAAGAAGCTTTAGTGGTGAAACAATACTGGATTTGTTTGCTGCATATGCTTCAAATTAGGCCAAGGTTTGGGTAAGGATAAACACAAGTTTAAGCCATTCTAAGTCTTCGCCATAGCAGGGAACAATTCACATTTGAATATGAAACTATTGTTTAACAAAGCACTGGCATGGAATGATGCCGCTGGATGGAAAGACAGCTTATCTTATCGCGCTGTAACTATCATGTCTCTGCTGCGGACAGCTTCAGTCGGTACAGAGGAAGGGGTGCTTGGCTGAAAGTGCTAGGCTTTGTTTCTTCCTCTTAACAGCGGCATTACTCGCACAAATACTTTGATTACAGTACTGAAACACATTTCTCATTCTGTGTGCAAATAGCACGCTTTATCTGAAGTGCAGCAGCTGTGAGGACATTAGCATATTTGCCATGAGTCAAAATAGAATGCCTTTGTTCAAGTGGCAGAAACCACTCATGCAGTTTAGCAGCAACGGAATTGTGCCTTTTTTACTCAAATTTAGGGGAAATTGTGTGTGAAGAATAAATGCATGATTGCACTAGGATAAATCAGGGGTATCAGACAGGTAGTGTTGTATTTTATTAAATCGAGAAATGTTCAATGTCTGGGAGAGAAAATTATTCGGTAAATTATTTTTTAAATGATCTGAGATTCAGTAAATGTCACATAAATAAAACCCACTCGATCGGTCCCTGCTTTAAACACTATCTATTCTGACAGGGGCTTGTGTTCACTGCCGAGGGCCGGGTGTGTGTGGGTTAACTAACAGGAAGTGGGGACAGCTGTATAAAAGCTAGGTGCTAGTTTGTGGTTTTAACAAATAACTGTGACATCTCTGACAAGTATGAGCATAATTCTACTGATGACTGAACACGGCTGTAATGAGAGCTGAGTTTGCTGGGCCTTCATGTGGCTGTGAGTTGGACCCATAACTTGTTTTGCTGTTTGTTATTCAAGACTGTTCACATATTCCTGTGTTGACAGTTAAAGCTGGGTACTTGTGTGATGATAATGTATCTCAGTTTCCTTTTTGGCCCATTGCTGAAAGTTGCAATCACACAACAAATGATCTCTTTATGAAACTTCTGTAATAGTTCCAAAGAGGACATTTTGCAAGTGTATGACATTTTCTGACATCCTATCAAGCAAAAACACTCACATCGAACTAACACAATATACTATAGGACTTTGAACCACTAATGATGCATGATGATTAGTCCAAGTGAATAAGAAAAACATATTTTTTGTGAGTGTAATCGTGCCTCGAGGTATATGATTCATGCAGCATGTCAGTAACCTTGTTCCTGCACAGGCTGGCAACAGTATAACCCAATATCAGTTGGCAAATGTTTAATTTGATGTATTCTACCCAATCTCTTTGTGAAAGATGAAAGACTTAAGTTTCATATAATCATAAGACTTTTTCCTTTAAATTAATCAATGAAAATCTACTTTTAGAATAAGTCTAGCAGCTGTTATCCAGCCAAGTGTTTCTGCTGCTGTCACCATCCAACAGACAAGGAGTTTTTCTGTTTTCATCAAAGCTTTGGCTTTACAAGTCAGTTTGACAAGGTTGTCATGAGCCTCTTAAACTGTGAACAGGAAGGACAAGTGCTAAAGTGTTGGAGGGCAGATTTCTCTGGTTGAGATGGATAAAAATGGAATAATTGCATGCACAGAACCTACTTCAGGCAGTGGATGTTCTGAGCTTGAAAACAATATTGGTTTCTCATATTGCATTGGTCTAGCAATGCCAAAGAGCCTGCACCATCCAATCATTATCTACAGTATACCAGTTATTGTTTCAGGGTCACGGGGGGAGATGGAGTTGCCATTGGGCGAGAGGTGGGTTACACCCTGGACAAGTCATCAGTGTATCGCAGGGTCAACATATAGAAACAAACAACCATTTCACCAAAGTCTTTAAAATTTGGGAGGAAACCGGAGTACCCAGAGAAAACACAAGCAGACATGGGCAGGACATGCAAACCCAGTGGATGGGGATTTGAACTGGGAATCTTTTTGCTCTAAGGCAACAGTGCAAATCAGTGGACCACTGTGCCCAAGAAGGGAATCAAAGCCATTGTATTACTGAAAGAAAGCTTACTGGCCAAACTTCTCATGTGTCTTTTACTAAAATAGCCTAGATAAACATATTCACCATTAATGTTTGTTGAAACAGGTCCATGGGACGTGTCTGAGGTGTTTAGGGCAAACATACATTTAATTACATGTTTTTCTTCCGCTGCCTCTGCAGTGTAAAACCAAACCTATGTACACTGTTGAAACATGGAACTATCTATATCTCACATTTAGAATCCATGTAGTTCCAGATGTGCACCCACATCACCTCATCATCACGTCATAGTTTTTACCTGGATTATGATCTGGATTCTCTGCAGCTCTTTTATAGAAGGTATACACATTGTTCATTCGAGAGCCCATCCTGATGAAAAAAAGAAAGTAAAAAACACAAGGCAGGTTACACAGAGGAGGATAAAACACTTTATAATAAAGATTTGTTTATGTTGGACACTGAGCACCGTTCAATCATGTTTGCATCTGCTTATTCTACTCAGTGTTAAAATATCCAAGTATTTCACAGCCCATCAATCCATATGTTCAAATGTACAGATATAATTTTTTTTTTATGTTTATTAAACTATGTTTAACTGGAAACTGCACCAGAAGATATTTGAAAACTGATACAGTAACACCATTAGATAGCAACTTCAAACGAAAGTCTAACTCTTTCAATAATTTGTCCACTTGCACATACACCACACGTTTTACTAAGCAGCCTCAAAGTGTGATTGCGAAGAAAAAACAGAAGAATGATAAGATGTGTTTGAATGGAGTTTGGCAAGGGTGAGAAATTTTAAGTGCTCACCCTCCACCGCTCGTCATCCGCCCCCACACCCATGAGTGTCTACACACACACACACACACAGATGTCAGAGAGGTCTGAGTGACTCTACCCCTGTCACTGGGTGCCTGTTGTGAAAACAGCACCCCACCCCGCCTCCTTCCCTCTCCTCTCCTCACCCCCTCCTCCCCTCTCTCCCTCTTCTCTGGACTCCAGCCTGACATACCAGACCTTGTTCGTTAGCACATATTTTTACCCACCGTTACTAAATTAGGAAGCCAGAGGGAGCAAACGGAGTGTGGCTGCCAAGGCAGAAGAAGAAGAGTCTGATCAGGCCTGGGTTTGCTGAGGGTCTATGCCAACCCTACCAGCTTCATTAGGAGCCACTTGGGTTTCAGAAATAGAAGCCCAACAGGGACTGGGGCCAAACAGAGCCCTGAACGGCCAGCCAAAAACTCACGGGACAAACAAACAAATAAACGGGGCGTCTCATGCCGTGCCAGAATCAACCGGCAGCAGCCATCCCAAGGAGCCATGAGAAGTTATCTTCGGCAGAATTGCACACAAAATGTGCCCTGCCCCGAGTTTAAAAGTGGTGACAGTGCACACACTGCCAGCCCGACACAGAATAAATTAACCTAGAAAGCTGCCTCCAGAGAGCAATTTCTCAAAGCAGCCACAGAGACGTTCGTATTTATCTGGCATGCATTTTGGGCACTGATGTAAGAAAGAATATTTGTACAAGGAAATGTACATTTCCTCTTCTTACTGCTGGCATGAAGCATTTATGTCTATGAAAGTACAAAACAGAAACAAAGGTCTTCCTTATCTATCTGTCTGTCTGTCTGTCTATCTATCTAGCAATCTATCTATATGATATATTTCAAGTTCATTGTTTACTGTCTCGTCTGAGTGACACCTCCACTTTTGCACTACATTGATTTCAGTTCATTTAACACCCACCCATTAAAACTAATAAGCTATTAGCAGCTGACTTTCACCAACTTTAAGGTCAGTGTCATCACTCCCTTACACCAGCTTGTATTAACCAATAAGTAAATAGAGAATGTATGGCCCTGCTGTCTGTATAGGAGATTTATTCCTCTATCAATGTTGATGTTCTTCATTATATAGCCCACTCTGGTCCCTGTCATCATAAAAAAAACGTTGATGGCATTGTGACATAATTATTTTTTATCTTTTGTCAGCCTGTATTATATGTGACCAAATAATGGTTTGATTTATGAGCGACATCATAAGAGGTCAGAGAAAACATGAAGTATAAATGGTCTGATAAACAAAAATTTGCAGTTTCAGGATATTACTGAAAAAAGAAAGGAGGGGTTATATATTGATAAGTGTAAAATTCAGAAGTGTGACTGTTATCTTATGAGGCCGTCACTTCCTTAAAGAACACAGCAGTAAGACAATATTCCTGTACTAAGTCTACAGCATGTTGTGCTAATATACTGACATCTTGTGGAGATATTTGACTATTACAATTCATATGTTTACAACATTATCAACATGTTCTCACATAAATTATGCATTACCCTTAATGTGATGAGAAAAAAAACATCTTAGATGTTGTGTTTATCCTGCTATTTTCAGAGAGCTGTGCTAGAGCTGCTCTCATCAATCATGAGCCAGATTTAAAAGTGTGATTCCACCCAGAACTTCGTGTCATCTCTAGTTAGGATACATGCATTTCTAATATTAATTTACCAAAGCAAAAGGAACCAATGTTTCACTCAAAAGACTGATTTCAAATTTTTAAATCTGCTGATATCTATTAACAATTTGCTCATAATGTCCAAATGTCTATTTTTCTTATACAGCAACAGTTACCACTACTAGTAGGGTTGTTGTTGTTGTTCCACCTCAAGGTTCTCGAGTCCTCATCATTTTGCCTTGGTTACATATCCATCCATGGTCACTGCTTCATTAGAAGTTATTTACCGAGTGAAAACCTATCATGACGTCACCCATTTGTTGGTGAACTGCTGTTTTGAAGCTGAGAGTTTTGTAATTGACCTATTTTTTTATATACCATCAATGTTATTTACTCAAATCTGAGAAACCTCCTCCATGATCAGAGGAGACATAATACGAATGTTAGGATGAAACTAGAGGATCAATGGCATTGGTGTGAATCAACAGAGGTGCAATGCTACTGGTATATACAAGAAAATAGATACGAAGCAGATATTGTTCAATTTCATTTATTTATAATTTGACAGTTTCCATCCTCCCGGGATTGTGCTGGACTGGTCTCATCGAGAGATGAAAACTCCAAAGCTATCAACTGCTCCGTCAAACAGTTGTGGCAACAGGTGACAAAGCTGCAGCACTGTTCACATACGCTCTTTCTGGTACATATAAGAGAGGTTGTACTACACCAAACAGAGTTTTAGCACGACTGGCCTCATGCAGTGCTGCTGCAGCTTTGTATATAGCGAGTGAAGCATTGTACCAAGTTGCAGCAAAGGTGCACAAAGCTGTAGCACTGGTCCAATCCAATGCTAGTGTGACTTTGTGCAAAGCATCTGCAGCACTGTACAAATCTACAGCCACATTGAGCACAGCTGAAGCACTGGAGTCATCCTCTAGAGCTGTAGCATTGAGGGCAGCCACTGCAGTGTCAAACACAGCATCATCAGCACCGGCCTGGTGCAGTTCCACTGAGGAGTTCCACAGAGCATCTGCAGCCTCAGAAAGGTTGCACACAGCTGCAGCACTGGTCTCTTCCATTGGCGCTGTATCACCTGAAAAAATAGAGGCGGGGCAGGTCCTTCTCAGTTCTGCTACAGCCTTATTCACAGCGCGTGCAGCGTTATTGAAAGCCGTAGCAACTTGGGACACAGCTGCAGGCTCTGACTCTGCAGTGGCCAATGGACTGGCCTCTGCCTCTTCAACATTAGTTTCCCATTCAGGCAGCTCAGTGGTTAGCATGGGTGCTGCTACATTTCTCTCTCCAGGTAGGAGGAAATGGTCGAACAGACTCTTCACAGTTTTAGTAACTGCGGTGCCTACAAGGAAACCAAGGGTCAGGAAGGGCATGTTGCTGGGTTTTGTTCCTTTCTGAATATGTGGGGATCAGAATGAAGAAAAAATCTGCTTCTCTTGTTTTGTGCCTCTGCTAATGAGCCTCATGACCATACAATGTCAAAGGTAAAGTATAATGTATCAAAGGCATCAATGGTCAAAGGCATGAAAGTATCAATGGCATGGAGGATCAATGGCATGGTGATGTCATGTCCCCCCCCTCCCCCCAAAGTGCTTTGACATAATGTATATTGTTATATGGTGCTAAACAAAAGTTAAGTTAATCTAATTGGTGTGAATAATAACAATAATAATAATACATTTAATGCATATGGTCCTTTTCACAGCATAAAATGCAGCTCAAAGTTTTTAGGATAAAACAGAACAGAAGCTTAAACATTCAACCACACCCCTCCTTGTTCAGCCAATGAGATTGTGTCCAGCTTTTCTAACTTTAAATGTGGAGGAATAAAAGTCATGATGGGACCAACCTCTGGAGAGAAGTGAGTCTGCAGCAGCTTTTAAACTCTGGAAACGTCAGGCTCTTCTCAGCTGTGACATGAAGACACGTGAAGCCCGGAGCTGGCGGAGAGTCACAGGTTCACTTCCTCATCACAGATCCTCTACGGATGTGTGTTGGAGGATGGATCACTAGTGGGGGAAAAAACTAAAGTGGTTATACTTTTGGTAAGAGGTCTCACACTGGTGGAGTGACATAAAATGTTCCTTTTAATCCCTAAAATTTGTCAAACACAAGAAAGCCCTTATAGGCTACTTCCATTACTAGATAAATTCAAGTTAATTGCTAACCCAGCCTCTGTTCCTATTTATTCATTTATTTATTGATCTGTTTGTGTTTGGATCTTTGTTTGTTGTGCGTGTTTTTACTGTTTTTACTTTTTTATTTATTTCGCTCAACCTGTGAATATTCTGTTAAGATGACTGGAATATGCCTCGTTTATTTGTATTTGCATAAAAATGTAATAAAGAAACGGATGAAAAGAGTAAACAGTCTATGGTAGTAATGTCCGTGCGGCTTTTGAACGCAGCACACTTCCCTTCCTCTCTGTAACAGGAAGCACTTCCTCAGTGATGAGGGACACTCAGCGGCGCAGTTTACTGCGCGTGTAGAGGTGACGTTTCAGTTCCTGTACATTACTAAGATAACAAGATAATGTTTTTATATCTTAAACCCATTGTGAACAAATCTTAGCAGCTGTTAGCTTCGTAAACTAGCAGTTAGCTTAGTTAGTTAGCAGTTAGCTTAGCTCGCTGGCAGGGTAACCACGGAAACACAGGCAGCGTTCAGGGACAGACTGTTGCTGATGGTTCCGTCTCTTCCTTCATTGATCAGTATTCTCACTTTGAGACGGTGAATTCACAAACCCGTCACACCGACCGATGCTTTTCACACAATGGCTAAAACTCCTCCGTGTTCCTCCGACTCTCCTGCTGAGTAAGTGATTTATCTTCTCTACATGTGAGATGAGATCTAACTATTGATTCACTTGTTACAGCAGCAGACAAGCTCAGAGAGAGGGAGACGAGAGAACGTAAACAAGGCAATTCAATAAAAATGAAACACTAGATACAGAATGTGTACAGATTCCTGTCACGGGAATATTGCTTTGTACGGAAATGTAGTAAAGTGGCACAAGATGATTGTAGTAAACTGTAGTTATGGCAATAAGTGCTATATATGTGTATATAGCTATGTGTTTAATCACCTTAGTTTACTAAATTGCAGTATAAATCTTGTAAAATAGGTCTAAATCAATATTGATTATTATTGCAATATAGTTTTCATCAATAACAATAACACAGAGGTTTAATATATAAGCTCATGCATTGTATAAGCACAATGAGGAGATATAACACATAACTTATTAGAAATGTGACATTTATCGTAATGGTTATCAACTGATATGAACATTTTTGTACCTTGGTATTGTTTGTATCCATTCAGCCCTGCTATAAAACCTCAGTAATGTGTTAAACTAATCTTCAAAGTTGGTTCAGTTTCAGAACTTCTCCCACTTCATTTACTGAAAGTGTTTTCCTTCATATGTCCACTTTTTCAAAACACCATTGCTTGACCAAACCTACTGTACATCCAGATGCTCTGAGAGCGTGGGGAGCAGCAGCAGGAGCGTGGATGATCCTCCTCCCTGTGGTTCAAAATCAGGATTCACTCAGAGGGATTTTATAATGGTGCCTCCAGAGGAGAAGCTCAAGCACTTCGATAGCCGAGCTCAAGCCCATGAAGACAACCAGGAGGTGGGTTCAGTCATAGCACGTCTTTCAGCCTCTGTTCATGTTTATCAATGCATTAATAATCTGTATACACATAACTATTCAAATAAATAATAAGGAATTTTATGACTGTTTTATATTATTCTTTACTGACTTTTCATGCACGGTAGAGTTTTCTATCAGGAGATGTGATGCTGACAGATATTTCATATATTTTCCCAGTTTGACGCCTGCATCCAGGACCTGGTGCATTGTGTGGCTCTGACCAGGCTGGTTTATGGGGAGGGACATCTGAAAGTAGCCCAGGCCCACGCCAGACTGGCTAAAGCATATTTCCAGTTAAAAGGTAATCTCAGAAAGACAATACTTTAACTACACTTGTACAATTGTTATTTTCAAATTGCCACTTAAGACAGATACAAGTACAAATCATATGACAGTCTACCAACAATTCACAAAAAAAAATTTTTTCACTCCTCATGTGTAAAAAAATTAAGTTTGTTCCCTCAGGCTGGGGACTGCAGGCCCAAAAGCATTCGGCCTTGGCCAGAGAGCTGCTGCCCGTCTGCTCCTCAATCTCCTCCTGCAGAGGAGAAAAGCTCAGATGTCTCCTGAGCATTCACCTCACACAGGGAGGGGCTGCATTGCTCGCGACCAAATATCCCTGCCAAAGCATGTTTGACAATAATACATGAGATCAAAAGAAAAACCAGCAAGCAGAAAATGTCCTTGACTCTTTTCCAATCTCGAGGAGGCAGAATCCTGTTTTCTGACGGCAGAACAAGTGCTTAAGGATCTTCATCAATACACTGCCATCAACCAGGAAGACGAGATGAAGACTTCGCTGGAAATCTCCACCAGTTTATGCAGGTAGAGTTTTGAAAAAAATTACTACTATTTATTTCCTGAGACTATTTATTTCATGATACTCATCATGCTCAGGCTGAGCTGAATGACCTGGCACTATTCCCAACTAAAATGCAACGAGGCAGGTCTCTCCAGTGGGGGAGAAGATCATATAGCATTTTATATTTTAATTATTTTGTTATTATTTAAAACACAAATATTTTTGTCAAACTTTCAAACCCACTTTCAAAAACAATACACTTAAGTTTAGCCACAAGATGGCGATAGACTCATGCAAACATAGTTTTTGGAGGGGAGGGGTTTTTGTTGTCATAGTTATGCCAGAGAAAGCACCATCAATTCTCTGTTCTCCTGGGAACAACAACTAAACAAATCAGGATTTCCCCTCCTGACACTGTTCAGTCCACTCAGCAGTGTGTGTGGGTGTTTGGTGAGGTTGTTACAGACCTGCTGGGTGGAGTTTCTGCTTGTCCTCTCAGTCGCTGCTCAAGCAGAGGTACAGATGAATAATAAATAATTTCTCCCTTTTCTCTAAGGTTATGGTTTGTCTCAGTTCTTAAATAAACCTCAGCTGCTTTGTTCACTTATACATATAGTACATATAGTATCATTTTTATATTATTTATTTGTTTAGACCACTTTACAACATTTGTAACAATGGAATGTAATGTAGTGTATTGATAGCAGGTACAGATCATCATACTGTATGCTTTGGAAAAGATTATTAATTAGTGGTTCCTAGGTGCAGGCACCAAGCACAAACATGAAGTGCAGCAGAGACACTTTGGTAAACTGAGTGCTGTGGTCACATAAAGATGGCAGCCAGATTACAGTTGGTGAATTTAGAAGCACAGACAGGAAATAAAGTCTTAAAGTCTCAGTTGAGTTAGATCACCCTGCTAATGTCTCTATTTATTTTCTATAATAGACAGATTCTGTATTTTATAATATTTTATATCTGTATATCTGTACACAAGTGTTTATTATAGAAATAATAAACACTTGTGTGGTATATGTCACCAAAACAGCACCCATGAAACGTTTGTGCTACAATAGATTTGTTTGCTGCAAATTGAGGTCAATCAACCTTAAGCAGCTTTCAATTTACTGAGGTCAACATCTGGTCCAGTTTAGCAGGACATCCTCATTTTTGTTTAACAACTTACTGCATCTGGAAAAACTGACAACTTTGACAAACGTGAGATGCTGCAGGACAGCCACAGATTAGAACCTCCCCACTCTCATTCCTAGGAAAGTAAAAGTAGTATTTTGACGCTGTTAATTCTTGTATATGAAAAGACTGGTTGGTTTAGAATATGTGTATTATGCCTCAGTAAGTTTGTCACTCAAAAAGTTGGAATTGTGTACATTTAGGATTTCGACAAGAGCCTTTATAATCCAGGCACTAAATGTATGGAATTTCAAAACCATTAAAGCTCAAAATTTAAATAATAATTATTTGAAAAACTCACAATGTCTGTAAAACCTTGTAAAGAAGTTCTCTAAAGTAGTTTGTATTAGTTTTAGAAAGGCAAATAAACATTGTGCATCACTATGAAAGTGTTTCAACAACAGAAACCCACATTACAAAAACTGTGTTGCTTGGTAACTACTGGAAACATTTAGTGAAAATAGAGCTTATCAGCAGCCGAGGTTAGCTCCACTCACAGGAATGTGTAAATGATGCCATCTTGGTCTGTTTCAGAGAGTCAGAGTTTGTTGACATGATGTGTGTAATTGAATAAATGTGCAGACTCTGGCTTGTGTGTAAGCTCGCTAAATCTCTTTTGTTAGGTGATGACTAAGAATTTGGCATGCCTCTAAAGCTCTGTCAGTCAACACTGTTCTGGTGCAGGGGAATGTTCCCACCAAAGCCTGAAACAATAAAGTTAGCTCGGCTCTCTTACAGATCCTGCTCCAAATTCTCTGGATACTCATACTCATTTTCTGATCCTCTCAAGGTGCATGGGCAGTTACGATTACTGAGAAGGCATATTTCTGTCGGGGCAAAATTTATATAGGTTTAAATGTACTCTTTGCATAAGATTGTATAATATGGTGAAGCCATGGCTGCTAAAAATATGTATTTATATACAAAAGAAACTGAACTAATTTCCCAAAACATGGTGGAAGGATGGGTCAGGGAAGAACCCATTAAGTTTTGGTGTGGATCCAGATCAGAGGGAAACACCATCCATCCAAATTTCAGGTAAACACTGAAATTTGGATGGATCTTGATTTAAAGTTAGAAATCGCAGACTGATATCCATGTGTGTGAAATGTGATGCAGCTTGATTTAATTTAATAGGACTGTTTGTTGACATTTTATTTAATTACATTTTGTGCATGCACTTAATAAATTATTTCTTATGAATAATAAACTTGCAAAAATGCACCCTTATTTTCTGCACAATTAACCATATTTGGTATTTCATTTGAATGCCTTTTCTGTTTGACAACGTTGTGCAGAGTTTGTGCTGTCGTTGCAGTAATCAGCAATCGTCCTGTTGTATAAATACATAGGATACAGTAGCTCATACCAGGATTACCCTCATGCTCAGGTTCCACAATCTAGATTTCATCCAAAAAAGAAAATGGTTTAAATCATCTTAATCTAGATGTTGATGGATGAAATAAAACTCGACAAAATCTGATGTAGATGCCCTGATTGAGTCTCTATCCACAACCAAACAGGTGGTTCAGGATTCTTCCACATGGTCTGTAACACAAATCTGAATCAGAGCCACACAAGAGAAAATCTCATCAGACAGAACTTTGTCAGTTTAAAGCACCACACAGATTTGCTGGAGCATGCTGTTGTGTTTTTGTCCCTCTATTTTCACTCTGCTTTGGCTTTATTGTTGTATCATTTTCCGAGTGAGGGCCCAGAGCAAACTTACGTCAACCATGTTTTGGAAGCGTTTACAAAAGAGGGCTGTGTGGCTTGCTTGGCAATACATCTACAAATCCTTGATTATATAAATACCCTGCCATGATGAATCTTAGCAGATTTTGGTGGGATGTGGCATATAACCAGGAAGTGAGTAAGGATGCGGAGTGAATGAGAGGATAGAGAAGCATTGTCTCTGTTTGACCACGCAGGCAGAATGGCAGGACTCAAGCCACAATGCAGGAATGTACTGTGCTGTGGCCACCGATGCTGGCCTAAAAAGGACCTGAGAGTGTGCCTCATGGAAGCTTGTGGGCAGGGCCTTCCCTCTATCCATCATGGCATATTAGGATAATCTGGGAGTCATGGGAAAATTCAAAGAAAGGAGCATCTATGTTTGTCTAACCTGTGCTTTTGACATTTAAGAACTTTAACAGAAATACCCAAATCCATGCTGCTGAAGGGATGTGAGCAGATGTCCGGTAGACACACATCCTTTATATACTCATGATACTGGAAGGCAGCTTGGATAAAGCCTTGACTCAAAAGCTGTGCTGTTTTGCAATTACTTTGGTGTACAGTCAAATAAATGATCAGCTAGTTTGGATGTGGGAAGGCAGATGTGTGAAAGAGATTCTCTATATCCCTGTATGGCAGCCGTGTAGCTAGAGATTGTATAGTGTTGATGGTAGTGGGCTTTGAGACAGGCCACCCCTCCTTGAAAGGACAGCTGAATTAAATTTAGAGTCCATTAGTCGGTTTGAAGCTTTTAGCGGAGTCGACTGATGGACCCAGGGTCCTTGCAGTGGTTAGTGCAGCTATCATCGAATCCTTTCTCTGCACCAGTCCCAACTCGATGCAGCATCACAGTACGTGACAGTGTTTCAAAACAGAACACACTCTGTTGTAGGCGTCAGCAAAACATGTGAAGCTTAAAACATTGTTAGCAGCAGGACATATACTGAAGAGTGATTTATAAAGATCCATTCTTCAATCTCCTGCTTTGCATCTGTGTTTTTTTTTAAGGGAATTCCCTAATTTTCCCTAATTTTTGCCCAGTAATGATAAAAAACACACTGCAGGAGTTATTTGTCTGAGGCTGTTAAAGTGGTGGGGGGTTAGCAGTAGTGTAACTGTCAGTGAAGAAAGTTATAGACTTGTGAAGGGTGCAACAAAAGCAGTTAAAATGGCAACGAGCAAGGTTTCCCTTTTATAGTCTACACTACACCAGGCTTTAGCTGCAGCCATTAGCCAAAAGCTTTCACCTCTCTGCAGGACCTGGGTTTGGCTGCAGACCAAGCAGTTACTTCAGTAATTTGAAATAGGCTCATTGTAATAAAGCAACAGGCGTACGGGTGTACACTAACAATATATGGAGTAAAGTGTGTGATTGGATAGAATTTATTAAAATTGTGTCATTTCTCAATCATTCCAATAGCCGGACTGGGTTCATCTCTACCCTCTAATCTACTGAACACAAGATAACCTTCAGACATCCTCCAGCAGGTTGTTGGTGTCCACCATATAAAATGATTTAATGTCTAAACAGTCTAACTCTAGGGATGAGTGAGTCTTCACCTCGAGGAACTTCACTGCAACAATATCTGAGCCGACATATTTATCTCTTCTACATACCAGCACATCAGTTTCTACTCTACACATTTGTGCATCAATTCTGCCCAACACTGTACCAGTATTTCAAAATAAAGCTCACAGATAGTCCAAAATGTGCTGATTAATTGTAGCTAGAATACTGATGGTATATGCCTTCATTATTTCTGGTGATGCCCAACTTTACATAACGTTAAGTGTCCTGGAATTCCTAGTTTCTTGACAGACCATTTTTTAATTAATAAATTGCTCTGCCCTCAGTAGTAACACTAGTTTAGTCCTCACATAAATTTGCAGTTTTAACCTTACAACACTTCAGTTCAGTTCTCACCTGAGCCTCAATTTAATAATTTTAGCAATGTTGCTCTCATACAAAGATCTTTAGCTGTAACTCATTACGCGCAGTCATCCACTTTAGAGCTTTGGGTTTAGCTCAGTGGTTCTCCTATGAATCCACACTTTCTTGCACAGGTATGAAAGGATACAGGATTATTATTTTTTTTTTTTTTAAATGCAGTGGTGATTTGAGTAGTGTTCGGGCTAAATGCTGTTTGTATGTACAACAATCCATTCCTGTGTTACCATATGTACAAAGATTTCCATTTGAAAAGTAAATAATAAAAAATAATTTTGTTATTTCTAGATTATCCTGGAGGGTAATTAAAGCGCAGAACTCATTACGTAATGGTTTTGATGTATCTTTATACCCTGCTGCCTTGTATGGCAGATTCCACTGGTCGCTGTCTTCTTGTTTGTCTTTCTGTTCTGACAGTCTGCCTATTTGTGTCCTTTCCGCTCTATAGGGTTTATAAGAGACAGAACCGACCAGATGAGGCTTTAAACCAGTGTGAGAAGTCTCTGCAACTGCTGAAGGACTGTGATAAGCCAGATAAAACCTCCTCTGTATACAGAGACATGGCCGCCATCGAACAGGACAAAGGTCATATTGACCAAGCCATAGAGCACCTTTCCAAGGCATGTGTTGCACCACTGACACATTATACCAAACTCTAAAGTGCATTATATATAAATACACAAGGGCCTTTTGGCCATGTGCCAAGTTGCGATGTTATGTAATATTTTTGCATGTCTTATTTGCTGATATGTAATCTGTCTCTTCCGTGTGGGTGTCTTCCTCTAGGCTCATGCCATCGCTATGAGACACAGCCCAGGGGAGTTAGAGGAGGCTCAGATCTCCCACAGCCTGGCCCTCATCCACTCTGCTGCAGCAGAGCCCCATCACAATGGTGGGTCTATTCACAGACAGGCCTGAGCAAAGACGTTAATTAGGACGTGAATCTCCCATTGTTTTCCTATATGTCAAATTCTTTAAGATGGTGTTATGGAAACCAGACGTATAATAGCCCTTTTCAAGACATGTTAAAGTTCAGCCACATCAGTATGATTCACTCATGTCAACGTATGTTCCACAGTATCTATGAGGCAAAACATCTGAAAATTAAGAAAATTGGAAAGACGTTTTTAGGAAAATGAAAGTACTCTTGATAAGCTTGTTTTCAGAATCAGCTATACTGCCAATCATTGCCATTATTTAAGTAGCAAACTTGCATTATTGTGTATTTTTTCCTCATGCTGGTGTAGAATCTGCAGGTCACTACTTTGAGCAGAGTCTCAGTGCATACAAGAACTCTGTAGGTCCACAGGATCCAGCCTTCCTCACTGCCCAGGATGACTTCTGTCGTTTCCTCCTCCTCAATGACCAGCAAAAGGTTCTCTCTCTCACACACACACACACACACACANCACACACACACACACACACACACACACACACACACACACACACACACACACACACACACACACACACACACACACACACACACACACACTAGTCTGTAAGATGATTAAGAAATGTCTCCACTGAGATTCCCTTAGGCAAATCTCATATTTCTGTTCGTGCAATTTGGGATCCACAGCAGACCGTCACCATCTGCACATATTTTGTTTAGACAGCAGCACCATGGAAACCCTCCCTCAGAGTTTGTTATTGTGTAGGGGTTGATTCCACCTGCTGAACAGGATGTGACTCTTTCTAGTTACCTATTTTTTATACACCATTGCAGAGATGTGTGGAGATACAGCGAACCTCTCTCACTCCGAAGAGATCTACGTTTGGAGGCCTGAGTGCTGAGGTAGCAGACACCCTTCAGCTAATAGGAAGTGTGGAGATGAGTGAGGGCAGGATGATGCAGGCTCACAGGACGATGACAAAGGTAATCACACATTACAGAACGGAAACGGCACAAGTAAAGTTGTAATGCCTTGTTCATCACCTGTAGATATATATATGAGTCGCAGTTACTATCATCAAACACAGCATTGTTCCTGCCAAACTATTTGGGAGGGTTTAAATAAAAGGCCACAAGCGAGCAGGTGTGACCACCTTCGCCAGAGAGGGGTGGGAGGCTTGTTGAAAATACACACGGTTCCTGTCATATTGCAATGAGCTATTCCCACCATCCTTCTTAAGCTCAGTGCCATCAGAGCTGCATACTAATCTTGGAAGGGTGCTGTGGTTAGAGCCACCCTCCCTGGTGTAAAATATCACACAGAGTGACTTTGTGTTTCTTCCGTCTGGATGGAGCCTGGGCAGCTTTGGAAAAGGAATGTCAGGTTGTTTAGCGCCGTCAGTTAAAGGGACACTGACACCAATAAGTTCTGCATGTCACTATAGCAGTTTTCAGACAAGTCTGTGTGCAACACAACAACAATCAACACGCCCACCTGCTTGTTGTGACCCGACAATTTCCTGCAGCGTTCTCACATCGGCTCCTTCGGAGAATGTCAGGAAATTATCCAGTTGTCACAAAAGTCGCATTCTTATGCACTAAATTAACAGCAGCCTTTTAGCTCAGTGCTTCTCTTCTGTTACTGTTTTACATTATTTCTTACGTAAGGGGTGTTTTTATTTTGCATGTACAGTTTGACTTCACATGTTTCCCCTATGAGCTAACTTCTGCCGCCCATCAAACGTACTAAAATACACCAGAAGGGGAGGATTGCTTCACACTAGTAATAACATGCCTGTAAGCTAAGGAGGCTGGTTGCTATGTTGCTTTGTTGTGACATTTAAGTTCAGGGGTCTTGGTTTGACAGGGAATATTAGGACTCAGTCTCCCAACACCACATCTAACCTGACACAGAGCAGATACATGAGGACAGATTTTCCCCTTCAAGCACACTCTTGAGTAAATTTTGTTTTTCCAAAGGAAAGCTGGCTGTTACAGTAGATACAGTACACAGCCCTCAGAACAATGGTGCACATACACAGAGACACACACTTCACATTTCCCCCTTCCTCTGTGGTGCTGCTGAAAAAACAGCCTTCCATTACCTCAACCTTAGCAACGGTGAAAACATCCATGAGAACCGATGGATCTGTTCCAGTTTACCCAGAGTTTTACTTTCCCTCGTGAAGAGAGAAGCTTCTCGCTCCATCTTTTTTCATTTAAGTTCCTTTTACAGCTTATTATTTTAAATGATTGCTGAAATGGCCGACAGGGTTTTATTTACATCTGTTGCATCACTATGTGAACTGTGGAATCATATTTTATAAGTGTGTTTGTACTTGAAAGTTTAGTATTTTCTGGATTCTGTTAAATTAGGAAACTTTCTCTGATGCCATACAGCGAAGCACTGATTGCTAATTCATCTCCGAGTGGAAAATGACTCAGGCTGCGTCTCAAATGTATTTACTGGTTTGGAGCCCCTGTAATAAATCTAGCAGATCCCCCTTGTTGACCTGTCACGCCGAGTGCTCAGCGCAGGTGTTATCTAAACCTTGGGACTGCCACCGTGGTTATTTTAGGTTGTTTAGTGTGTTCACATGTTGCTTGGAAGTGTGGATTCCCCTCTGAGTATGACTTTCACATCTCATCTTCCACTGGCGACTCATTGACTGCTGTCATTAATGTTTTTTTATTTTTAATGTCAGTGCCTGGAGATCCAGAATTGGATGTACGGGCCTCAGCACAAGAAGACAAAAACTACACAAAAAGCTGTGGACATGCTGGCCCGGTAAATCTTTGTTAATTCGCTTTTCTTTAACACAATTGTATACTTTAATGTGACAGAACTTAAGTAATTTGTGTGTGACTAATAAAACTATTTATCTTAATGTTCTAAGCCCATCCATGTTTCAGTATGTAACCAAATACTTCTGTTTTGCAGGGCACCAGAGGTGGCTGATAGACTACAGAGGCAAAATAAAAGAAAAACATAACTTTCCAATTTTACCATCAAGTGACAATGATTGATACTCAATATTTGACCCACGAAATTTTATTTCATCACTACAATAACTTTGAGGATTTACACAAAGAACTACTGACATTCTATTTGTTTTCCCATAAACATTGTGTCATTATTCAAGTAACGCTGCTGAAAATCTGTTTGTAATTTCTCTATTTATAAGTATTTAGTATCATTCACACAGTTTAGTAGCGTGGAAGAAAAACGTACACTCACAAAACATACCCACAATAGCTTTTAATCGTGTTAAGAAATGAATCAATTACAAAGTTATGGCTGGAACCAATTTTAAACAAGCATTAATGTCATTTGTTCAGGAGAAATCATCAGTTTGTCAATAACAGCGATGATGTTGGGGTATCCATGGTGAACATCTGAAATAAACTGACTCAAACATTCTTTACAGGTTTGTAAAGATTTGTTTATGCTCTGACATGGCACATGGTATCCAGATTACAATGTGTACAGACATACAGTATACACTTACAAAAATTCCTTGTTAATATTTTAAGTACAACAATATAATATGTAAGTTACTGTGATCAGCAGATGATAAAATCTTTGGAAATCTCCTGTATCTGGGCACTTTAATGCAACAAATTTTAAATAGAATTTCTTTTGTAGAGATGTATATAAAAGCATGGCATTCACACTGAACATTTTATTTCCGCATGTTATTTTAACATGAGAGTGAAAAAAAGCCAATCTGTGAAGACATTGCTCAGTGGTTGCAAGGTTTAAATAAGAACAGCCATGAAGACAACATGTGTAAAACACTTAGACAGACTATAAACAGACCGTTTCTGCCTCTGCAACAAGAACACAACACAACAAACCCCAGTGACGGCTCGGTGCCACTAAGCGGTCGATCCAAAAATAGTCACTGTCATGAACACACTGCTATGTCAGAGTAAAGGTGAATCCCTCAAGCCAACGTTGTGATAACAAACACATGTGGACAAGCAAACGGTGTTGAGACATGAAATTAAAATTAGACATGACATTAAAACTCAATGTTATTATATTGTCTTTCACAACACTTGCTGCATCCTTTAATCATTAAGTTCCTGCTGCTTCTTTTCATTTCGTCACCTTACTCTTTGCTTACTTTAAATGGTGTAATCCACCATTTTTAATTACTGACTCACAAATCACAATATTGGAGCTAAATATTTGCATTTGAGAAATAATAAATGTTATTGACACATACCATGAAATAAACTTTATAGAAACATTTTTATATTGTTTACATTGATTATGTAACCTGCATTTCGTTATTAGGTAATAAAATGGGCAGTTCTTATTTTGAAATGTGTGATGTGCCATTATTCTAGTTTAATCATCTGACCATATCTAACTTTGTGAGTTACTTAACCAACACTTCTAAGTTCAACATTACTTGAACTACACCTTTACCTCAGAATTCAAAACTTACAATATATCATGAGACAAATTATCGTCTATTTCTTCACTCCCCTTACACCACCAGCCAAAATCTTAACTATAAATCTGTTCACACTCCTGACAACTTAAAATAAACCATGGTGTTCCAGGATGCAGTCTACACCTACATCATTCCATTAGCAGTGCCAGAGAAAAATAAAAAAGGCCTGCGTAGGGTGCCCAGCACCTCACAACTATCACAGCTATCACATCATGGCCGACACGGGCTATGATGTGTTAGTTGGGTTGATGGTGTGCTGTAAACTGTCTGTTGAAGCTGTGCAGTACAGGTTAGTACAAAAATAGAGAAATCTAAAGAGAGTAAACAAAATAGTTTGAAAATAGACTGCAAGCTATAAAAAATAATAAAGCATACTAGTGCAACACTCCATCATTATTACCAACCCTAAACATTCCTATGATGTTACAATCCCAATTTAAGCTCGCATAATTTTTATCATATTACTGCGGAAACTATTTCCATAACATAATGTACACCTAGCGGCTAGCCTGGCACGCCCCCTAGCGAAGCCAGTTAAATTAAAATTGGAGGCCAACACATCCCACACACGCTGGAAGTGGTTCACCAATCACAACAGATTGGGCCAGCTGACCAATCAGAGCAGACTAGGCTTTATCATTATGTTAAGAGACAGGAGCTAAAACCAAGTGTTTCAGACAGAGGCTGATAAGAAGTGCTACAGCAATGGACAGTAAGAGAAAAGGATGTGTTTTTCGAGCATGCAAATCTTTTCAAATAACCCAAATTAAAATTATAAACCTGAATACGAGCCAAATATGTCTATGTATGCAGTTAAATTTGAGGTAAAACACTCTTTAAGCAGGCACAGTAAAAGAGAGTACCAAAATGAATTAGCTATCAAATGTTGTACTGCTAAAATATACTGCTTATAGCATTATTTCAATGTCTGCTATAAGCATTTATGCCCTTTGACCTCTCTGTATCTGTAGTTCGAACAATTGATACGACTGACAGGTATGTAATTTAAAATATTTCTGACTGAATTCTGTCTTCATCATCTTGACTTTCAAGGTATATTGTTGCAACTCTTTTCTCTTGAGAAATCTTCAGTGGTTTCTCTGTGGCTTGAGACTGCAGCTCTTGCTCTGAAGATGCCTCAGAATGGCTGCCTTGTATGTCCATCTGGAAAGTGGAGGATTTCTCTGATGGCTCGAGTTTGATGTATTTCTCAGTGATTTCAGACACAGATTCTCCTTGGTTAGCAAAGCCTTCAAACTCTTTGCCATAAGCAACATCCTCTTCTTTGGCAATTCTGAAGCTGTACCCTCCTCCAGCACCACCCTGGAGGGTTTGCTCAAACCCAAGGTTGGACGATCTGAATGCTGCCATGATCTGCTCCTCAGACAGATCATCTCCTTCCTCCAGCAGCCCAGAGTCTTCCAGAGTTTGAGAGACATTTAGCTCGGCAACTATAGTCATGGTTCCATTGTCACTTGACTGCTGCACTTTTTTGACAGCCACATTCTGAGGACTCTCATTACTCACTCTAGTGAGGAAAGCCAACTCCTCCCTCAGAGGACCAGAAACTGAGCTTTGTAGCTTCTCTAGAGCTCCCTTCAGCTGCTCCTTGGGCTCCAAAGAGTCCTCTCTTAGGAACTCCAGCATTGACTCCTGTACTACAGGGGAAACACAAATCTCTTCTTCGATGATGCATTCTGGGAAATTCTCTTTGACAAAAGAGTGGTCGTCTGACTTGAACTTGTATTCATCGTGTTCCTCTACAATCACTCTTTTTGATGGAAGACTTTCATCTTGGTAGTACCTCTCATCTGACAGGTCATCGACAATGCCATAATGGCCATAAGAGGACATGCCACCACCATCCTCGGTTTCAGAAAGGTTCTCATCTGGTGTGGAGACAAAATACTCTTGAGGCTCTTGGTCATGGGAGAAGTATGAAGATTCACTCTGTCTAGAGACCTGTTGAACATAAACAGATCCACCCTTGGGCTGATCTGTGTCTGTCATGGAGGATTTCGTGGCATCATCATCACCCCTACATCCATCAGGGACATTTTCTAGCTCCTCAATTTGGAAATATGTTGAGGAGGGGTCATGCAAAGTGGATCTGAACTTCTCCTCAACCTCAAGCTCCTCATCACTGTGAGAGTCCACCGGTTCTTCAATGATTTCCACATTGACAGACTTATTTTGCAGGTTCTCTGCTCCCTGCAGGCCACTTAATAAATTCTTGATCATGCTTCCTGTTGCCGTGTCCTTGATGTCCTCCAGTGACACCTTCTTCACGCCTTGGCTCATAAGTTCGTCCAGGGCCGAGTCTTCAGAAACATCCAGCTCTTCCTCCACTTTGGACTCCAGCACAATCTGTGTTTTAGTTGTGCCATCCTCCTGCTCGATTTTCTCAACATGATATCTGACCTTGGATTCTCCCGATGAGCAAACCTTAGCTTCCAAACCAGCTGGTTTTATCACTGTCTCAATAATCTCCTCTACAGACACAGAGTCTAATATCTTCTTCTCACTTGGGCTTATCGTATACTCTCTTCTCCCTTTGTCTTCAAACTCACTGTCATAAACAGAATCCATCTCCTCTTCATCCAAAAGTTGCTTTTTGTTTTCTGGTTCAGTTTTCGTGCTCAGCCTCGTCATAGGCGGTGACACAACTCTCACCGATTTTGTCTCAGCAGTAGAAGACTTGATGGGACTGATTTGGTTTTCCATTGAGGAGAACTGTTTGATTTTCACAGTTTTCTCCTCTGCTGCTGGTTTTTGCATACTGTGACTCATGTGGTTTTCACTCTTGCTTGTTTGTTCATCTTTGGCAGCAGTGGTGGTGGCAGAAGCGGCAGCCCGAGCTTTGCTGAATGAGATCATGTCCCTTCTGGATTCAGGACTTTGATAACGATCTCTGCTTGCAACTGAAATAGGAATGATTCTAGAGGGACTTATGGACCCAGAGGGACGCACGGGGGATCTACTCAGGCTCGACGTCTGTGGCCTGTACCTGATATCTGTGTGTGGTCTGGTTGTTAGGATGGAAGCTCTTGGTTTGTAGGGTTGGGCCGGCATCTTGATATCTAAGGCAGAGGAGTAATTCACATAAACAATTAATTAATGTGTTGACATTTTCTGTTTTGACACTTCAAATTGAACGTTTATTTTTGCTTAATGTTTAAACATATTTTCATTTATTGAGGTACAAGTTTTAAAGGGTTCCCTTGTGATCAATATCAATAATGAAGTCGATAGAGGTCAACATAGTACCTATTATTCTTTCTCTCTGATGCTGATTCACCCTCTGATGAGCGTCTTGCAGACCCACTCTCTCACCTTCCAGGAGAGCCCTGAGCAGAAGAAACAAGACAAAATGCTTTAACAAAGGCAAAAAAGGTTTTAAAAATTATTGTTATTTACAAGAAAAGTGAATCGAAGACAAATACCTCACAAGATGGTGGACATCATTCAGCTCTGCCATCTCAACACTCTCAAACTAAACGCAACAGGCTTACAAGACGGTATGAACGCAGGACCTGGCCATATAGGGTATCATCAAAAAACAGAACAAGCCACTGTCATCATGTCATAAAGACTTTGTGGCAATTTGATCAAACGCCTCACCTTTCCGTGGCCATGATTCCCCAAACATACAAGAGCAAAGTAAAGTCCATCCAAAAAGGGAACAACCTCTCCCAATAGTGTCTCCCGAATGACTGACCTAAAAATAGCAGCTACAATGCAGAGCACTTCCCGAGGAATCCCAAAGCAAAAGCTGAGTCATGACACCTTCAGAAACACATGCCACTGTCGCGTCTCCTAGCAAACATTCTGTCCATTCCAGGCAGTCAAAACACTCCAGATGTGCCAGTGGACAACCGGCCACGTAGAGGCGCTCTGGAGCAAAAGTAGATGGTCTTCTAATGCACTTCTTTCGAATTGGCTGCATACTATAAATAATTTTGGTATATCTCAATAACTATGGTTTAATCTCCTGTCAAATGAGGTAATAGTTAATAATATGCTGTTATAAATAATACATGGGAAAACAGCTCGATATAACATTCAAACCTAAAAATACAATATGTTTATCAACTGCTTTAAAGACAACTTTGCAATTTGGTAAAAATAGTCGTATTAGTATGTGACCGTGTGTGTGATCCGGCTATGTTAAGAACATCAAACCACACATTCCAGGCTATTGCAGGATATGATAAGCCAGTTAAAATGTGACTTGCTTTACACAGGGAACAATCCACAGTGGGAGTTTAAACAACTCTGTTAAAAATGTAACAGTGGGTGTAATAGTTATTGGATAGTGAATGTGAGGTATTACTTTTGAATTTATTTTAATAAAGGACCACTGCACTAGGTGCCAAGACCAACAGGAATCAAGCATGGGATTTGTATGCATTCATTCTAATGCAATCGATGAAATTGCTAATTAAGCTAAAAGTACTTGAGGCAGGTTTATTTGGAAATGTCTTTCCAAATACGACAAATCAAGGTGTCTGATGTGAAAAGTGAGGATTCAACCCAATGAACATTGATTCAATTCTGTCTTGACTGACAGCAGCTCATCACCTGTAGGCAGCCACTTCCATGCCCAGATCCATCTTCACCTGGAGAAGGTGCTGATGTTCTTGCATCTTTTCTTCTATGGTGTTGGCCATGGCGTTTCTCTCGTGCTCAAGCTGCTCGATAATCATCTAGGGGAGAAAAAAAAAAGTTTCACTTTGCACAAAGTTTAATTTTACAAGTCTGTGGTCTGTCGTATATATTTTTTAATGACAATACTAAAATCATTCAGCTCCCTCGTTAACTATAGAGTGTAACCACATTTTATGCAGTGTTGTTAACTAGATAAATATTTTATTACTGTGTTTGAGTCCCCACAGCTTGTTTGTTTACCTCTAATTAACACCTTTTTGCCAAAATCAAAGTTATTCTTTGTTCACACTTGTTTTACTGTGTTTGAGATTATCCAACAACATTTAACATCCTACAACACATATCTTGCTCAATTCTAAAAATTCCTCCTGTGCTTTAACTGTGAGGAATGTGTCCTTGTCGGCGGCACTAGTGTCTTTCCATGTGTAGTATTTGTATCCGTCGACCTGCCTTGCACTACATCTTTAGGACACTAATAGGGATTTGTCAGTCTGACAGCTAATTGGTTTAAGTGGCTAGTGTAATCTAGCAGTTATAAAACACATGG